GTTTACACTTAAGCCAAGGCTTAAGAAACAGAACTTTTATTTTGAGGAAAAACATCCCTAGAGATTCGCGTAATACAAACTTAGAGGGCTAAGATTATGGATGATTGAGTGCTGTTTGTAAAAAAAAAAGAAAACTTTATTCTGTGTTTTCTAATGTGCAATCGAAGTCCTGATCTTCTCCTTAGCTTGCGTCTTCAGTCATTTGAATTTTGTCATTTGGACTGGGAAGTGTGACAGGATAGCCCCACCCCACCCCGACCCCCCAAAAAAGCAGCCATGGAAAACAGGGTACGCAGTCCTAAAGTTTGAACATTTCTTGGAGCCGGGAGTGGGGTCAGCCTACCTATGTAGCCTTCTGTGGCTGGATCGCAGACCAGCCTTCTCCTGTTGAGCAAGAAGTCCTAAGACTTGTTCTGTGTTCCTCCACCTAGCCCCCTCCCGCTTCCCGCTCAGAGCCTTCCTCTGGCCGCCTTTTATGTCATTTCCAGCGTTTCCAGCTGGACTCGGCAACAAGCAGTAGGATATATGTGACTCGATGCCAGCGTGTCTGGACTAGAAGTTGTCCTCTGTTTCTGTCTCTCTCTGACCTTCCGTCTAGACTCTTCGGTAGTGTTTGTTTCTGAAATATGGCCCAGAATAATCCAAAGCTCCACAGAACGAGAAGCCTTTTGTAAATCAGCACCAAAAAGAATCACAGAATTTCCAAGTATCTTTTACAACTATTACTTAGAGCACATTTTCCCCTAACAGAGATCAGCCCTCCAAAATATCAGCTCACGGACTCATGTGTCCCTCTGTGCTGGAACTCAATCGTGTAAATCACTTCCTGCAGTTGGGAAGTTGGTAACAGGAATGACTCCTGCACCTGTCCTTTCTCCGAGTGACAGATGTGCTGACACTGTGGCCACACCCATCCCTTCTGCACGTGTGCAGACACATATAAAACTTCCCCAGAGGACTGCACTGTCAGGGCCAGCTAGATTGCCTCCTGTGTTTAAGAACTGTACCAGTTGGTATTTTCCGTTTGGTTATACAAGCCATCTGGAATTCATTGTTACGGAATGTGCTGTGTGTGTGTGTATCGGGGTTGTGTGTGTAGTGTGTCTGTAGCGGCTCCAGTGTGCAGGTGCACTCCGTAGGTAGTACGGACGGCGAGTCTGTGGTATGCTATCGTCTTACACGTAGCTAGCCTTCAACACATGAATGTGCGTGCCCCGTCTCAGTGATCCTGGGAGGAAATGTGTAAGGCACAGTTGGGGGGGATGCGTGCTGAGCTATGCAGAACGGCAGAGAGGAGACCTTATGTCTGGCTGGCGTGAACCTGCATGCCTGCCCACAGAGGCAGCTGGGGGGTTGCTTCTGTCCGAGTCACTGATGATTTTTCCATGACTGGACAGGCAGGTGCGGAGGGCCTGACCCTCCTCTGCCCTGGCCCTGGCCTCTCCCCTCAGCCTTTGTTCTCTTGTCACCCCCGAGAATCTGCTTAGCTTCACTGTCCCGCCCACACTGACCATGCCGTGTATTGGTGTGTCCGTGCTCACCTACAGAACTGAGTTCAAATTCCTGTTACCGTGGACTTGTCGAGGTTAGCATGCAAGTATTTGCATCATTTTACTCATGTTTGAGTGGGCAGGACTTAGAGCTAAGTGTCCCATGGGTATGGTATGGGAATAAAAGATAATGGAGAAACGGAGTGTGTTTATGCATGAACAAATAATTTTCCAATTTCCATGTATGCTTGTTCCAGATGTTTTTATTTAGTACAGTTTTTTAATATGTTTGAGATTTAAAATACTAACCCTGAAATTATTCTGTGTCGGGAGCGGGGTACTAAAGCCACTCCTGGGATTGGAAGGGGCCGTTGCAAGATGGCGGCTGGCCCAGGGCCAGGAGGTGGAGCTGGTCTCGCCAGCAGGTAAACAGGAAGTCACAGGGATAGGCTAATGTGCAATTACTGGCCTATCACGTAGCGCCAAGTGGACCCACGGGGAGAAGTGATTGGTGGAGAATGATATAAAAGTAGCCGGTAAAAGCTTGACGAAGGACAGACCACAACGAGGACAGATGAAGACTGGGGGGCGACGAGGAGAAAGACTGGGGAATGAAGCAGAGAGTACGGGAAGAAATGTGGGAGGAAGGGTGGTGGAAAATGGGAGGAAGGGTGGCGGAAGAAGCGGGGAGGAAAGCTAAGACCAATGGGGACAGGAGCAGCGGAGAGAAGGATTTAAACACAGCCACTTTTGGCAGTGAGGGGTCCGTGGTCGGTGTCTCCCAGACCCTCAAGAGTAAGCATTGTCATTTTAGTGTCGCTGCTGGTCAGCGACAATTCTGTATCTTTTTTTTTTTAATTCTATGTAGTAATATTTAAGTAAACTTGGAAATACTTTGAAAGTATGCATACTTCTTCCTTTTAAGATGTATCTGTTTATTTGAAAGTCCAAGAGAGAGAGCACTTCCATGTGCCGGTTCCCTCCCCAAATGACCCCGGTGGCCAGGGCTGGGACAGGCAGGAGGAGCCAGGAGCTGTGTCCAGGTCGTCCACAAGGATGACACGGGCCCAAGGATTTAGGACCTAGGTTCTTGCTTTGCCAGATACATGAGCAGGGAACTGGATCAGAAGTGTCACAGCTGGGACTCAAAGTGGCACCCACGCAGGCTGTGGGCACCAGGCTGTGGGTGTGTTTACACACCGCTGCGTGTGCCGTCCATCCCCCGGACTGTCGGGGAGACTTGTGGTTTAGACTGATTTTCATGTGATGAGATCAAGGAATAAAAGACATCCTTTTAGGTAAAAAGGCAAGTGGGCTTTTTTTTTTTTTAAACCCTGATTTCTTTTGCTTTCTTTAGTTTTAGATTTTTTTTTTTTTTTGTACATTAGCTTTTCCTAAATTAGCTGCTGTACTCCAAAAACTGAGTAGTCAGTCATATTAATATTCTGGAAGTTCTTGTTGGCTGCTGTATCTTTGCTTAACGCCCTATCCTTTACTCAATCTTAGTTGGTTAACTTCTGCATGAATTCCTGGTACAGCTGAAAGGGACTCCAAGGGGCTGGCTGTTCCTACTTTTTTTTTTTTCCCTGTGGCAAAGTAAAACAGCTGTAAGGTATCTGAAAATATTCTTGAACTACTAATTTAAAACTTTCTGTGTTTCACTGAAAAAGAAAATTCTGGAAGAGTAATTTAGCATCCAGTTGAGATTAAAGAAGTTAATGTGTGAGCGTGTTTGAATCAGAAAGTAGAAGAAGAAACCTAACTGACTGCCAGAGGCATAGCAAAGAGTAATTAATGCTTTTTTCCCCCTATATTAGAAGAAAGACTAAGGTGACCTGCTTGTAGTAATAGTGTGTGATCTTCAAATGACTGTTACTAATGCAGGTGATTACAGTTAATATGGTTTGGAACATGGGGCCATGGCTAAATCTTAAGAATTTATTAGAATTCTGGGTCTACTTTCATTTTTGCCTTTCTACTAGTTTCTAAACTGAGAATGACACGGCTCGTGTTACCTATGCAGTCAGCAAAACTTACTCCTCCCCGAAGACCTCATTATCCTGCGGCCGCCCATCGCGTGCTGTGTCTCAGGCCTGCCTGGCCAAATGCCTCGGCAGTTAATCCTGGAAGAGAAGTGAATGCCTCTAGTTTTCTTCAGTTACAAGTGAACCTTTCTTTAAATCTTTTTTTTAAAGTCCTTTGTTCCTCCCTGATGAATGTACCCCCATCATTTCTCTTTTTAGTTAGTTGGGATAGTCATTCTAGCATATTCCAAGATCCACGGATACTTAAGTCTCTCGCATAACAGGCGGTGGGATTTGCATATAATCTGTGCAACAGCCGCCCGTGCACTTGCAAGCATCTCCGGATCACAGCGTCAAATGCTGCGTAAAGAGTTGTAACGTGGCATTATTAGGGCATAGCAACAGGAAAAAAGATCTCTGCGTGGTAATTTTTTCCCCGAGTATTTTCGATTGCTTGGATTTGCAGATTGGAGTCCATGACTGCCTGAGTCCTGGCTTCACGTGTCTCCTGCTGACACCTTGTACGCTGGACTGTCCCAGGTGCTTCTGTACACATCTCTCCCTCTTCCTGTTTTTCTATTTGTTTGATAGACAGAGTTACTGGGGAGAGCAAGGGGGCAGACAGAGAGATCTTCCATCTGCTGGTTCACTCCCCAAGTGGCCTCAATGATAGGAGCTGAGCCAATCTAAAGCCAGGAGCCAGGAGCTCATCCAGGACTCCCCCGTGTGTGCAGGGGCCCAAGCACCTGGGCCGTCCTCTGCTGCTTTCCCAGGCGTGTTAGGCGAATTGGATTGGAAGTAGAGCAGCCAGAATTCAAACCAGCGCCCATGTGACATGCCACCACCCCCATCGGTGGCTGGATGTGCCTCATTGTATTGCTTCCAGACCAGGTGTGGTGGGATTTTGGTTTTCAGTCTTGTTGTCTCAGAGCATTTTGCTTACTTTAATACAGTTACCAGTATCACTTGGCTCATCCTTCCGTTGTTTTTACCATCGAACATACCTGATATTTTCTTTCTGGTGTTTCCTTGATTTCCTGAACAACAAGTTTGAAAGCACAGGACCCAGTCCTCAACTCTCATCCCGCCAGCCAGCCAACTCTGAAAAGGGCTCAGCCTCACATGTGAAGTTTGTGATCGTCTAAGGTGTTTCAGCAGGAGCTCTGAAATGCCTGTGTCTACAAGGAATTTAATGTTTCATGATAAAACCTGCAGCTTCCAAAGGCTTAGCCATCGTTTCTGAGTCTTTGGGGAAACAAAACGGGCTCCACCGGAATCCTTAGAGACTGTCATTTTAAATCAGTTGTCGAGCCAGGACTTGAAATAGAAGTACAAGTTTGTACGTACAGATTTCAGAGAGTTCATGTTGTTCGTAGATGTCTTCATGGAATGAGTTCCTTTCCTGATTCGAAGGCAGTAAAATTGTTTAAGACATCGTGTAGTCTCATTCGCTAAGTTTCTTATAAAAATTCTCTCTGGTTTTTAGATCACTTCGCTAGTTACCCTGCAGCTGTTAAGCCTGGTTGGCCACGACGACCAGCTTGACGGACCCAAATACAAATGCGCCGTGTCTCTCGACTTCATCAGAGCAATTGCAAGGTAATCACCGAATGATTGTTAATGTCTAGTGTCTTGATGTATTTAAATGCTGTACCCAACGTGAAAATGGGTGTTCTTCTTAATCTGGTGTCGTCTTAGTCTTTTAGAGAAGAAAAGATCATTTGAGTACCAGAACTAGTAAGCTTTACGGTGGAAGGCACCCTCCCATCGAATGTTATCAATGACGTAAATTTAAAAGCAATAGCAAATATGTTAGATGGTCAAAAGAAAAAAAAATGTCTAAAAGATTTTAGTAGGCTGGAATAATGGCCCACGGGAACAATGTGAAATTTTGATGGAGAGTTGGCTACAGAAAAGGTCTTTTGTACTGAAACAGGACAGGAGAGCACTTGGCTTGGGTCTTCAGTATTTTCACTGACTTCAGGGTTTGACAAATCCTGACCTAGGTAGCACCGAAGCTAGTGTCTTATTCAAAGGGCGTCATCGTTCTGCCATGCGTTGCCACAGACAAGCGGAGAAAGATCGCGCTGTTGTGATGTGCTTCAAGGTTTAGGAAGGGAACTAGGCCAGAAGGTCTCGAGCACGCCAAGTGAGTAGGTCACGCAGCCAGATCTCTGCTGGAAGGGTGACGTGGGAGAGAAAAGCCGTGGGCAGGACCTGCTCTCCATCTCGGGCCTTTCGGGGCTGACCCGTGAAACGGAGGGAGGTGAAAGGCAGTCACCCTGGGGTGTCATCGTGGCGGGAGGAATGGTGTTTGTCAGCACGGGAGCTGTCCGAAGCTGCAGCGAGGTGTCTCCGAAAGCAGCCTGCTCTCTCGGACGTGCTGCTGTTTGAGAAAGTGTTCAGGCCAGCCGCCTGAGTGATCACAACTGGGTGCCCGTCTGGCAGGATGGCAAGTAGGCAGCACTTTGCCCCCTAGTCGCCTCTGAATCCGAAGTCCCATATACCAAGGTGCCGGTTTGTGCCCTACTGGATGGCATAGGGACTCCAGACACGAAGGAGCCATGGGACGTTTCACTGGCATAAAGAAGGGCCAGGTGTTAACGCAGAGCATGGCGAGCAGGATCGTCTTTGGAATGTATATTCGTTAAGCACTGTTAAACCTTTCTCAACAACGATATGGGGGCCTCTGTACCTAACAGCCTTTATCCAAGACAGGACTTTGACGTGAAGCCGGTGATGCTGGTTCACTCCCCAAATGACCGCAGGAGCTAGAGCTGGCCATTCCAAAGTTGGCAGCACGGCTTCCTCCAGGTCCTCCCCCCTGTCCCCCCGTGGGGTCAGGGACCCGGGCGCTCAGGCCCGCCTCTGCTGCCTTCCCAGGCACAACAGCAGAGAGCTAATCAGAAGAAGTGGGATAGCCAGGACGCAAACCAGTGCCCATATGGAATGTCAGCACCTCCTACCGCCACCTCCCTTGTAGGCAGAGGCTTAACCTACTGTGCCACAGCACCTGTCCCCTGCCTCCCCCGCCCCCCATGAAGCCCATTTTCTTCAGGGGTTCTTGTCACTGCTCTGAATGTCATGTGCTCCAAAGAGATTGGGTACCGGACGTGTATGGGAAAACACATATGGGTCCCTCTCTATGCAGTGGATATCCAGTTGAACCCAACTGAAATTGGTTTTACCCAATCCGTAACATCACAGGGATGTTAAATTGCGCCGCTGACACACACTTGCATGTACCCCCTACCAAGGAAGGAGAAACTGGAGTTTTGGCCAGAGAATTCACAAACTTTGTTGGCTTTCTTTTGTCTTCTTGGCCTCCCCCCTGCTTTCCATGGGCAGCACCCCCTTCCTCCCCCGGCCCCCTCCTCCACTCTTTCAGCCCCACACTGCTTCCTTGCTGCCGACCTGCCTGCCTCCTGTCTCCTCCTGACAGTCATCTGCATTGCCTTCCCTGCAGCCAGATGTGTCCGAGACTGTCGCTTCCCCCGGAACCATGGGGCTCGTTGGCACTCCTGGCCTCTGGCTCTGTTCTCTTTGTGAGAGATTCTGTGCTCAGCCTGCCGGCCCAGCCGTGTCACCTCGTGTCCCGAAGACGAGAGCGTATGATTCCCAGCCCGCCCTCGCTCTTCTACATTCCACAAGTTCACATTCACCTGCTCAGCCTTCACTCGGTCTCCCACAACAAAGCTGAAGCTCTCAGTGAGAAGTCACCTGGATACCTGCCCGGCAGCCGTCCTGTGCCCTTTCCCTGTCTCAGCATCCCGTGTGAATCCAGCCCCTCCCGGCCCCACGCTGTGGATCACCCTCTCTTAAAGCTGAGCCCAAGCTTCCAGCATCTTCTCGCTTTCCTCCTTATTTTGGGGCTGTTTCAACGGAAGCTCATTTACCAGTTTTTCCTTTCCAGCTGACCTTTGCAGTGATGCCTTGAGGCTTGGTCCTCAGCCGTTTCCTCATGCCATACCTTTTCCTGCAGTCAGGTTTAGCCTCGCTCGTGAGTTCCACCAAACCTTCTGTAGATTAATAACTCTCCAATTTGTAAAGGCCAGCCTTTTGAAAACTAATATTCTTGGCCTTTACTGAAAGCTTTCCAGCTGTGTCAATGTGTTTCCAAAACTGCAATTGCAAATTCTAGCACCACCTTGCACAGAGAGGAGAGGAAGGTTCTGTCTGTCCCGTTCTGCACTCTGCCGGTTGCACCAGCCCGAGATGTGACCGTTATCCCTGGATTGGCTCAGTGCTGCCCTCCCAGCATCACTCACTCGTTTCTCCTGAGGGTCTCAGATTCATCCTTTTTTTCTCATTTGTGCTGTTACTGATGGACCAAGCTACCGTCATCTCCTCCTATCTCATCTTAAGCCGTCTTACCTCCACCCCCCTTGATTTTATTATTCACTGTGTACCAGAATGCTCGTAGAGAAAACTTAACATCACCTTTCTGCTCAAAGTCTTCAGTGATTTCCCATAATTCTTGGGATTAAAAACAATCTTGTTGTAAAAAATGTATTTTTATAAAGGTAACATTTTTACGTATTTCGTATCTACAGTCTCAGAATGATTCTCTCCCACGCCCTCCTCTTCCTTCCTTCCTTTTTTTTTTTTTCTAGTTTCTGCAGTGACATACTTTCCATCTTTCCATGTACTTGATAATCACAAGCTTAAACTTTTGCAAAGTAAAGAATTCGATGAAGGAAAATTTGTGCTACTTGGCTTTTGGCAAATGGCTCATTTCACGGAGCAGAGTGCTAGAAGACCAGGGTCTTTAAACGCCGGCAGTGCCCACGTTCTTTGAGCTGTACCTCTGTCCTAGATGGCTCGTGTGCCTCTCCCATCACCATTGGCATTGTCATGACCCCGGCTGTTTTCCTATTTCTAAATACGCCATCCCGCTCCCACTGCTTGCACAGGCAGCCTAGACCAGCCTCCGGTCTTTTCATCTAGCTGTCACGTTACCCTGAGATCCCAGTGCGAGAGCTCAAGTCGGGAGCCCGTGGGACCCGCGAAGACCCCCGTCGCCACCTCTCCCAACGCACGTCATTAGGAAGTTGTCATTTTGTCCTTCATATTCTCATTTTAAAGAAATAGCTGATTGGATCATTAGAGCTCACCTTGCCTTCCAGAGCAGGTGCCCAGGAAGCCCACAGCTTCCTTGTTGACACTGGCCTTGCAGTGGTCCTGCCTGATCATGCCATGTTTTAGAGAGTGTACAGGCGTCATGTTTATATCAGGCGGTGGAAGAGTGACAGCTCACGGCTCTGAAAGGGCTGTTTCACCTGCCGCCCAGACCCAGCTGTGGCAGCTGTTTGAGGAAGATTCATTCTCTCTCTTCTCTCTCTCCCTGGCCCTCCCTCTCCTCCTTTCCCTTTCTCTCCCCTTCTTTCCTTTTGTCTTTCTCCTTCCTTGTCTGTTGTTCTGCTTTTCAAATAAATGAATCTTCCCTTCAAATTCTCTGTGTTCTCGTTCTCGTTGACTGTGTTTCAGGGCCGAGCTGAAGCTGGGAACCAGGGGCTCTGCCTAGGTCTCCGGCTGCACCAGCAGGATCCTAGCTGCCTGAGCCATTGCCTTGTGCTTCCCCAGGGCCACGGTTGCAGGAAGCTGGAGCCCCAGCTAGGAATGGAACACAGACACTCCACATATATACACATATATATGTGACACACACATATATATTCTTTGCTAGAAAGGTCTTGTCGTCAAGAAGTGGGGTTATGGAGGAGGTGAAGATTTGGATGAGACACAAAAATAGAATTATGTTTCAATAACCACACTTTTTTTTGCTTCTGCGCAGAGGGCTTTCTTTCATGTTAAATAACTATTTTAAATTTTGCTGCTAGTGGTAACAAGATTGTATTTTCAGAAGCATATTCTATCGTTCTAGTCCAGATTTTAAAAATATTTGGTATGTCAGTCATTTATTTAAACTTTTTTTAGAAAGTATATTACAAAATGATAGACAAGAACATTAATTGATAATGGCTTTATAAAAAAAGCGTGCAATTAGTGAATCTGTAAAAGGCTGTTCTCACATGGATAATTATTTTTGTAGAATTGAATACTTTGGGCTTTTATTTTATACTTACTGCTAGATCATTATATCTAATTATTTTGACTATTTATTCAAATAATAAACCTCCGAGTCTGAATATATTTATACTGAAGAATGAATTTGGGGGAAAAAAAAGAATATAATTATATGTCTCTCTGTCTTTCTGTATTTTACTCTGCCTGCCATCAGAGTACAAAAATATCCACCCCCATCGTCTGTTTGTTGTGTGGTATTCTTGGACTGAGCAGATTTAGTTGCAATACACACCCAGGCCAGCCAGTGTTGGAAGACTGAAAACACAAGCCACGGATGAGGACAGACAAGCGACGGTCCCTGCAATGCGGAGACAGGTGTTTTGAAAGATAAACAATGAGCAGAAGCAAAGAAGATTTAAATACTTTTTTATCTCTAATTGCTTTGTTCTGATCATCAGACAAAAAAGAAATAGCTTTCAAGTGAAATCTAAGCTTTCTGTATAATAGTTGAAATGCAGAGCATTAAATGGTTCTTTGTGGTTATTTTTTTTTTTTTTCAGAAAAGCAAACTTTATATATGGTAGAAATGAGAAACCAACTTCTTAAGGAAACTGTGTGCTGAGTGACATTTTTACAAAGGGGTATCAGCCCTCTCTTGATGCATTTGATAGCACTGCCGATGGCTTAACTGAGTTGTGAATTATTATTCTGCATGAGCTTTCCAGAATCTTAACAAAGCTGAGCAGTCCAGGGACAAGGATGCTAACCTGTTATCTGTTTTTGTTTATAGGACAGTGAACTTTGACATAATAAAATACTTGTATGATTTCTTGTGAAAACAAGAGCCAAAGCCATATGGACACTGTGACAATGACTAAGCCAAGCCGCGTTCATCCAACTACTTGGCTGGCCGGGGAGAGGAGTTCTTTGGCTCTGTTGGATTTGTCCAAACAGGTGCTGGCCCAGCATGGAAGCTCCTGGAAGTATTCTGATTGGTCTGGCTGGACGGGAACAGGAGACTGTTTACCGGGGACCCTGGAGTATTTGGAAGCAACGTGTTAATTATAAACAGCAGGGTTTGCGCACAATCTGTTCTACTCTTAATGATGTTATCTTAACACTGAAATTGCCTGAAACCCATTTACTTAGGCCTACGTCTTGCTCCGTGAGCCATCCCCCTGCGCTTTGAACATGCCAGCAGCCCTTGTGTGTTCGCCTGGGCTTTTCACTTCCTCCCCACGGGAGCCTGTGCAGGTGCTTGCCAAAGCAGATTTTCCCGAGGCCACCGTTTTAAAACAATCATAGTTGCAAAACATAAATACAAATTCTTATTTAAAAATCCAAGCTTGTGTGTGTGTGTGTGTGTGCGTTTCGCACCCCAGTGTTCTCGAAAGACGAGAGGGTTGGATGAGCTGTGGACCAGCTCTCCATCTCTCTGGCGGTTAACCACCCAGCCTAGCTTTTCATCAGCAAGATGATGTTCCTTCCTTCCAACCGTTGGCCTCTAAGAGTTGGACAATCAAGTCTTTTCTGATTATAGCAGTGTGGACTCGAGTTCTATTTTTCCGTCAGCATTTAAATGTATGAACATTATTGTGAGCGTGAGCAGGTGTAAGGTATTCCGCAGCCTGGTTAAATCTTGGTGGGATTTATCGCTGTGTTCCATTTTTTTTGAAGAAGAAGAAGGAAAATCTCCGGAGAGGCTTCCGGATAGGGATGTGTTTCCTGTGCTACTAGTCCGACGCAGCCTGGTTTGAAGAGAACAAGTTCCTGGCTGATCGCTTTCGTCTGGAGCTGAGGAGTACAGATCGGGCAATGAAATGCCCTCTCGCCTCTCTACCCAAGAGACCAAGGACGGACTGGTGCCTGGCATCGCCAACAAGTTCGCTCTACCTCCTCCTCTGCTCTCACACGCTGTCGGGCCAAGTCAGGGCCAGGAGAGAGCCGCGTTGTACCGCGTCCTTGCGCGTTCCCTCTCCCATTACAGCCCCGGACCTTGCCACCAGCCCCCCGGTGTGGCTCCTTGCACAATGCAACCACATTGCCCTTTGCCCCCTCCCCCCACCCTCGTTCCTACCCCCCCATCCCCCGGAACTTTCCTGTTTTGTAATTTGCTTTCTAATGACTTGTTAAATGACTCACTAGCTAATTTGATTAATTTCTTTAAATGGATACTAACAGAGTTTACCATGGATATTAGCATATTAACAAGGGTCATCTGCAAATGGCATGTTCTAATTGGAAGGTACAAAGCTCCAATTACAGAGGCAATCCAATGATGAGAATTAGGCTGACTGGCAGGCCTGCTGCTTCGTTAAGAGAGAAGCTTCTGTTGGCCCGAGTCTAGAGGAAGAAGCTTTGTGCTAGCTTTTAGATTACTCCTAGGGAGGCAACCTGCCATTTTAGAAATTCAGGAATTCTCTGGTAAAAACTGGTTTCAAATCTGGGCCACTCCCTTCGTGGATGAAGCAGTTCCTTTCCAACGATCCCAGAAAAGATTCTGATTTCCCAAGCCTCACCCCGCTGAACCCCAAAAGCCCACAAAGAGATCAAGGCCTTACTACTGGGGTGAGAGTGAAGACTGCACTACCTTGACCAAATACCATCTGTGTTGCACCTGGCAGTGTGGCCACAGGCCCTCATGTTCTCAGCTGTGTAATGGAGAACAAGATTTACCACATTGAGTTTGCAGAATTAGGTGGATATAGCTAGGCAGTACTGGTTGTCAACTGGAGCTGGTTTTGTCCTCCAGATACCACGTAGTCATTTTTGGAGACATTTTTCATTATCTCACTAAGTCTCAAGATTGCGGAGGGGCCTGGGATGCTGCTAAATATATGAAAATCTCCATCCTATAGCAAACTCCTTTGATCTCAGTGTTAATGAAAGCAGAGGAGGAATGCTTCAAAAGAGAACAGAACGTGGCTTAACCTAGAAGGGAAATCGGCCTGAGCTAGAAAGAGATGTAAAGAATTTTGTTAATGCATCAGGAACAAAGCAGGTTTGGGCACCAGGGTGGCTGAAGTTGTTTGTGGAGCATCTCGGCAGAGTTCAGTGAAGGCAAGGAACTCTCCTCTTGCCGCCTGCAGCCCTGGCCCCCGTAGAGAGCTGTGCTTGTGTAGCCTGCAAGAAAGTCACACCAAAAGGGTGGTAAGAAGGTGGAGTGAGCTCTCCATATCAGGAGCTCTTCTCTTGAAGGACCTTGGACATGGCTTCTAGTGAGCGTGGAACTCACGGATCACTGTGTGTTCCTTCCATCCCCCTGCTGTTTGCAATCAGACCAGCCTAATTGCCTGTTGGGTTTGCTCATCTGCCCGATGCTCCGTCCCTGAGAAGGCAAGTCGCTGTAACACTCAGCGTGCCAAGGAGGAGAGCCCTTGCTCAGGCGAGTTCTTGGCTTATAGGAAGCGTTCGGTGAATGTTAACTGTCGTTAGTCACGAAAGACTTGCTGGTGGCCTTCTAGAAATTGGGGGACGTGACAACAGTCTACCCACCAGTGCTCACTGCCCTGAATACACAGTTGGTGCTCATTCTCCAGCGGTGACACACATCTATGAGACACAGTGTGAAAAGTAGAAATTGAGCAGAGAAAATTATCAGCAATTCATTCACTTAACTGCGTGTTGATGCACAGTAATGATGGGGATTTTAGAAGGCATTCAACTGTTTGAGTAAATAGTGATAGCTTTGCCATCATGGAAAGGCTGGGTGTGTTTGAGGCATGCTTAGATTTTAGCATAAACCAATCTCATTGATCTTTCCACGAACTGAGGGTCTGGTTGAGTGCACTTTTGGTTGTTTTGGTGCAAGGAATTTAGCAGTGGACAATGGAGACAGAAGCCTGACCAGGATATGAGGTGTTACCCCTGGTTGAATCAGTCTCTGAAACAGGCAGCCCCCAGTCATAAGCAGCCCCTCAGTGAGTTGAGGAGCCCTGGAGGGTTGAGAAGAGGGCTTACACGATCCTGCCTACGATTTGGGAAAGGATCGCTGTGGCCTGTGTGGTGGCCAGGCTGCAGTGAGCTGAGCAGATCATCCAGCAGGAGATTTCACCCCTTTGCTTCTCTGCCCTCTCTTGAGCCACGGGATACAGCAGTCTTTCCTATTGACCTTTGACCTGTCCAGCACCTTCCCAGCCATCAGGAGGACACAGAGACAGAGCACCACCCGGGAAGCAGAGTAGCCCTCACCAGACACTAAATCCATAGCAACTTGAACTTGCATTTCCCAGGCTCCAGAACTGTGAGAAAGAATTTTGTTTGTTGGTTCCCCACTCTCAAGGATTTTGCGATAGCGCTGAGCGCCTGCCTGGAAGTGGCAACATCAAGGAGGCAGTTATGTAAGTCTTGAGTTCAAAGTAAAGCCTCCAGCTAGGGATTTAAACTTGGTGGGCAGAGAGTGGAGGGGCTGTCATCAGTATTTTAGTAAAAATCGTAAGGGAGGAAGGTATACAGATGACCAGCAGGAGCACTGAGGAAAGACGCCCTCTAGCGTCACCGGAGACCTGCTCTATAGTAAGGAATTTCCCATCATTCCCTTCTATTGGAAGGTAGGATGCTTATACAGTTAAGGTTTCTTTTTCAATACTAACATTTCAAATACTGAATTATCCCACGTGAGTGCTAACATTTCAGACAGCCAGAGAGGAGAGAGTGGATCGGAGATTTGGATATGCGGTTGGATGCCATCCCTTCCCCAAACAAAATGACTTCAAGATACCTATTCCACAGATTAAATATGATCGTTAAATGCCCAAAGGTTGTGGTTGTAAACAGATTTTATTACCAAACATCTTTCCTTGTGCTTCTGAAATATTAAAAAATTTTTTTTTTAAATGTTGAAATTCTCTGGCTAATATAATGATCTCCTCTAGGCAGATTTAAGTAAGGCATATTTGTTCAACTCTTGGTTGTGTAACTCCTTTTATCCCTGGTCAGATGTTCCCATCTTTAGTTGTTGTTGCATTTTTCTTTCCCTAATCGTGATGAATCTCCCCAGTGAATGGCACACAGTAGAGCAGCACAGGCTTAAAGTTGAGGCTCCAAATACTAAACCGATTGACTTTGACTTTCTGCTTTGTCCCTTACTCGTTGTGACCAGTGGCACTCAGGGAGTAGAACAAAGTGGAAATTGGTGGTTCATTAAGTAAGCTTATACATAATTAAGTAAGAGTTAATATAACACAATACAACAAAGTAATACAATAAAAACCCAGGAGCTAGAAATCTGAGGAACAATAAATGACTTGAGCTGGAAGAAAAGTAGGACCTAAACGCTCGCTTGCCTAGGGCAGATGGTAGTTTAAAAATGGCCAGAACTGAGCTGAAGCCGGGAGTTTCTTCCAGGTCTCCCACATGGATGCAGGGACTCAAGGATATCTTCCACTGCCTTTGCAGGTCATAAACAAGAGAACTGGATTGGAAGTGGGGTAGCCGGAACTGGAACCAATGCCCACGTGGGATACTGAGCATTGCAAGTGGAGGATTAGCCTCCTGTACCACAGCTGGCCAGTTTCTGATTTGCGCCTGGCCTTCTCTTGGAACACCATCTGCGAAGCCCATGTAGGGAGCAGGCAGGCAGCACTGGCAGGTGGACGCCAGGCCCGTGTCTCCTTTCCCATCGGCAGTGGTCTTGGGTCACAGTTCAAGGCTGCAGCTGTAGCCAGTAACTCCACAGCCAGTGGTGCACCCAGTTGGGGTTCAGTTGTCATGGGAATCGGACTGCTCTAAATTCAGACGTGAGTGGAAGAAAAAGCATTGAACATAACATAAGGCTTGGAAAGATCTATGACTTGTGGCACTGAGACAATATAATGGGCTTATTAAGAACACAGTGAGGGCCTGGAAATGAGTTCCTGAATCTCATAGCCTCCCGTCTGCTGATTCAGAAAAGTAATGACCAAAACAAATCATTCGGTTTCTAGATGAAAATAAAATCACCGAAAATACCTCTTCCAAACTAGTTTTCACCGACAAATACACCCAAAGGTGATTAAAACATTAAACTCAGGACAGGGCAACTCAGTAGCAATACACTGAGAAGTGAGGGAGTGCTCTGAGGAGCTGGGCTTGCATGAGGATTCACGGGTTAACTAGGATGGCAGATGCGCTTCGTGGGACCAAGCAGACATTAGGAAACACTAGATAATTATTCTGGCTAAAACTCCGTGCCAGGTGCTAAAGCCAAATTAGAACCTTTTCTAGAAAGACTGTATAGTCGGGTGTAGGTAACATATGACACAACTCCCAAATGTCCAAGTTCAACAATAGGAAGGAACAAACAGCAACAAAAACAATGGCATCCATCCCAGAGTGATCTGACAGAGCCACTTT